GGATTGTTAGAATAAGGGGATCAACAGCCGGATTATTGATGACTGGCTTGGATGGTTGCAATGCTGGATGGATAAACAGAAAGCAGGTTTGGTGGAGGTCTGTATTTATAGATGGAAAAATTGTTGGCTGCTTAAATTGTTTGTTCGATGGACGGATAGCGAGTTGACTAGATGGTTGATTGGATTGATAAGTCGATGTTTAGTTGTATGATGGCTTTATCGATGGATGAAAGGCTGATTGAGTGGATGCATGGGAGTATTGAGAGGAGTTAGACAGGTAGAGAGGTAGTTGGACACAAAGATGGCAAGACAGATGAAAAGTGGATGGCTAGGTGAGTGGTTAAAAGCATGAATACGTGGAATTATGGGTTGCATGAGTGGTACCAGAATTGATGGACGGCTGCTTTAATCGATGGATGGCCGGATGGATGAGTGGGTCCAAGGATGTTTGCTTGGATGACTGAAGGTTTGGTAGAATCAGTAGATGAAGAGCCAGATGATTGATGGCTGGCTATGATGGATGGATTGTTTGATGAATGAAAAATTGAAGGATGTTTAAAAGGGCAGGATTGATTGAGGCCTAAATTGATAGATGGTCGACTGGTTGACTGGTTGGATTGACGGCCGGATGGATTATATCTTCCCTTCAAGTGAATGAATCGCGGATAAGTAATCGCTGGCTTAGATGGGTGCATCGTTTGCTGATTGAACAGATGGCAGGAATGATGAAGGCCAGTTTTTATAGATTGAAGACTGGTTGACTGGATCGACTGCTAGTTGGAAGGACGGATGGCAAGACGAAGGGATAGCTGATTGAGTTGATCAATCGATGAGTAGTTGTATGGTGGCTTGATGATTGGATAAACTGTCGGTTGGATGGATGCGTGGGAATATTGAGAGCAGCTAGACAACCGGAGGCGTGGTTGGATACAAAGATGGCAGGAGAGACGAAAAATTGGGCAGCTAGTTGGTTGGTTGAGTAGATGACTGCTTGGAGTGATGGGTTGCTTGAGTGATGACTGATTTGATGGATGGCCGTTTTGATAGATGAATGGGTGGTTTTGAGGATGATTGGTTGAATGATAAGAGGGTTGATTGAATAAATGGATGAACAGCCGGATTATCGATGGCTGGCTTAGATGGTTGAATTGTCAAATAGATAAAAAAAAGGCAGGTTTGGTGCAGGTCATTTTTGATAGATCGAAGACTGGTTGATTGGATGGATTGCTAATTGGATGGACCGATGGCAAGGTAAAAGGATGACTGATTGGATTGATCAGCCGACGACTAATTGTATGCTGATTGATTACTAGATTGATTGAGGACTCAATGCATAGCGAGATGGGTAAACGACTAGCCGAATGGATGACCAATTGGGTGAATGGCTGAATTGAGAGTGGAATTTATTAAGGTATTTATGGTCAGGAGCATAGATAGCTGGTGGGATGGTTGACTGGACAGATGAGTTCTTTGGCGGAGAGATGGCTGGTTGCATTGGTTGCTAGATCGACAGTGGACGGCTGCATGGTTGCCTGATGGGATGCAAAACTGGCTGCATGGATGGATGGGGAACGGGTGGTTATCTAGATGAATGGATATCTAGATCTTTTATCTAGGTCCAAAAAGATTAACTTATGTTGGTTTGAATTAGAAAATTTTCTTAAACAGACTTTTTGCTTACCTGAATCTGCATTATCAACCTATTTAAAGCCAAATGTAGTAAAAAATATTAAGCTCATGCACAAAATTGAACTTTGATTCATTGAAATTGTAATCCAATGACGGATCTGTTTAAACTTGGTGACTTGTGTAAGGAAATTCAAGCTCTGATCATTATGTAAGAAAACTACTAAAAGAGATTAAAAGTTGAAAAAATTAAAAATAACACAAATTAGAACTTTATATCAAATCGGAAGATGTATATATACAAAATACACACCTAGTCAGGTTTACGTCACCAAAAATCGGTTGCACATCGATATATTAGATCAATCGTTAGGTCGCAGATTTCAATTGAAGAGGTGGTATCAAAATGCAATCGCAAAATCAGTAGACTGAAAACGATTTTGATCTAACAGGTGTTCAGTTTCATCCAAATTTTATCTGCCATCAGGGTAGTGACGCAGTTTTTAAACTATGAGTTTAAACTACGTCTCTATTCTCCAAAAACTTCATTATTTGATACAGTTATCGATGAGATTAGAAAACGTCTCTAATATCCAATAATTCAAACTTCTTCAAGACTTCGAAAACAACTCATCATCAACTGCCCAAACACTTTTTGTTCAGTCTCCGGGCTGTTGCCTGGCAAACTCAATAAGAGCCCACATGCCATAAAAAGCCTGTTGATGTACTGAAAATTAAATTACATTTATTCCTTAATCCGGGTATCAAGAAAACAAGGCAGTTAGAAAGATTGTTTTTTCACGATGTTGGAATTCTTGCACTAGCTTCTTTTCGAAACTCTATTCTTGTGAGGGTTCAGTTGTGGATCAGAAGTCTGCAAATTGTAATAAAGCGTATAGCTTGGAGGTGAATATTCAAAAAAAATTTATACTTTTTCATAAGTTAGCGTTTTCATGCATTGATTGTTCATACGTGCTTCAACTGTTCAAAGTTAGGACTGAAGGAAACAAAAAAAAACAAAATTAATTTCAATGAATAATTATATATAAAACTTAATTTTCACGTATCGTGAAGTGTTCCCTTGAAAATTTCCAAAAAATTCAGTCTAAAGTAATGACTGCAGCGGTATTTGACTTAGGCGAGCCCTTTTGTGCTGATTACTAGATCTAAAAACTGCGTTATCAGAGCAGATGATTGAAAGCTCATGCATCGGAAAAAAATCTTTTCAGAGAAGGTACGAAAGTTGACGTAAAAAAGATGAAAAATATCCTGGCTTGCTAGGCTTTGAAAGTGCAAGTTTAAATAATGTACGTATTCGGTCTGAATATGAATTCAAGAGTTGAAACTAAAGTCATAATTACGAGTTCAATGTACTATAATCTAATAACCAGTTAGCGAATGCATTAAATTTCTCTCTTTATGAAGAGTTGTTTAGCCAGAGAAAAAGGTTTTTTTTTTCTCGTAACAAACACCTCTGAGCGAATGAGAATCATTTACAATTATAACTGTTCTTCTATAATTTAATTTTGACTGAAGTGTTAAGGAAAACACATACAAACGGATGATGCATATTGAAAGCTTCAAGTGCTTAATCTAACTTGAAGTTAATGGAACAAATAAGTCCAATTGCAAATTTTAGGAATTTTGAGCAATCATTAAATTTGCTTAAAAATTTTAATGCAACCTAAGGATTTGTTTCAAATTAGACAGTTAATTTCCCAATTTTAAACGCTCATGAAAATTGATATACATATTTATTATCTCTAAGTCTTTCTTTTATGCAGACATATTTGCATAATTTAGATTGTTAGAGGACTTATTTGCAAGTAATCAGCTTTGGAGTCAAAATTGATTGTTTTATGGATGTTCTACTGTCAATTTCGCTTTTCAGTTTTCTTTTATGCAAAAGAAAAAATTTTTTTACCAGCTGGAAGTGACAGTTTTGAAATCTTAAGTTTAAACTACGACGTCTCTTTTCTTCCAATACTTCAAAATTCGACGCAAATTTTGATTAGGTTACAATACGTCTCGAATATCCAAATATTTCTCAAATGATTTCGAAAGAAGTTTGTTCTCAACTGTCCAAAGCGTTTTTTGTTCAATTTCTTGCTGACTGCCTGGCAAACCCAAAACAATTTAACTTCGATATCTTGGGAACAAAGACATAGTAAAGATTTTCAAAAATCTAAATTTATGCAAAAAATAGCATACCTACACACTAGAGAACCTGTTCTAGATTCAGCTATAAATAGGGTTAGAAAAGAATTACAATGTATATTTATTATTACATCATTTGTAATAGGTTGGTTGTTGATGATGTAGTATGAAATAAATCGTAGTCATCACTTAATCCATGTACCAAGACAGTTAGAAAGAATTTTATTCACGATGCCGAAAGCCTTACAATCGTTCCACCAATAAACTCATTCTTAGTGACCGCTCCTCAATTTGTGCTAAACAAAATCTTTACTTACAAGCTGGAAGCTTTCAGTGCATAATAAAACTAATGGAAAAATCACAAGTTGACTTAATCAATTAAGATATCATTTAAATTGAAACTTTTCTTTTCTGATTTTGCTTCAATTCCTTTTCTACGGATAATTATGCGCAATTTAGACTTTAAGAGGACTTTTTCGCAAGTCACCTCTTCGGGTGTCAAAATTATTTTTGTGGTATAATTTTGCCCTCAACTTTATTTCTTCTGAGTTTTTGTATGCAAACGGTCAATTGTAACTATTCTTACATAATCGATCCTGTGTACTTCCTCAATTTCAAGCAGTTTAATTTTAGTTTTTTTTCATCCGGTTGTTCTATTTCAGATCTAGTAGCTTGTTCAGTATACAACGCACTGACATTTATGAGTGATCAAAACAATCCAACTCAATTAATTATATCATCAGAATTTGGCGACTTCAAGTTCACTGAATTTTATTAGAAAAACAATTTAAATATTAAATTTCATGATTCGTGTTTCTACCAGGAATATGAAAAAAGTAATTTTTTTTCGACATTTTTGACTTATTTTTTTCCGTCTTTGCGTCTTCCATTTGCTAGCTTGCAATGCTATGAGTGCTGAACAGCAAGTGGTGCAAGGCTCTGCTTCACCACTTTGTATGACATCACCTTTCACACGATATGAGCTGTCTTTGAAGTAGCTACAGTTTCGATTCCAAACCATTTCGTCATAAGAATGGACAGTACGTCTCTGATAGTAAGCCAGCTCTTGAACTTAAATTTATTATGAGCCAAACTATCATTTATTATGAGCCAAACTGATTCACTCATTCTATATTAACAAGTCGTAAAACTGAAAAGTCTAAGCTCCGATTTGATGTTTGCTGATTGCAAAAATAGTTACGCTCCAAAAGAATCAAAACGTTTCATCAGTTTAACTGCCCATCATTGGATATCATCGATATTGCAGTTTAACAGAAATGACAAATCTAAAAGACATTTGGCAACAAGTTTATGGACCGAAGAAAACCCCAAAAACAACAAGACTTTTTTCATTAATTAACACTTATTTCAAAAGATAATATCAACCAACTGAAGGACCGCAGCTGATAAATGTTCTTAATATACTGTTATGTTTTTCCTTTTTCTAAAGGTAGGAAGAAAAATATTTGCTGCAAGCCTTCAAACAAAGAAAAAATTAGTTCAATGTTCCGAGTTTCAGAATTTTGTATTTGGTAGTTTTATTGCTATTTATGACTGCGCCGCCTGTGTACACTCCTTTTTAGCGGGAGGAGGTTGAGGGTTTCCGTCTTTTTTCTCCGCAGTGACCAGATGGTCTGCTACGGACTCAGATTCCACAGTATTGCCGGATGATTTCCCGGCGGCAGCACTGTGCTTTTCTGTAGTCTCTTCTATGTCCCCAGCCAATTCATGTTCGACCACCTTGCGTTTTTTGTCCGTCGTTCCGAGTATTTTATCAGTTTGACCTAGAGCTATCAGCCGGAGAGCATGCTGAGAACTGGTTGTAATGTCCTAAAAAATATTAACTGCTATTTTGACAGAGGGCGGTACGCCAGCAAGCAAGGTAATGTAGAAAAAGATCTGAGTGCTACACTCATAGCTGAACTGACCTGACAATCTTGCAGCTTGACAACCCTGGCTGCATTAGAGTTTGACTTTTCACATGGATCAAGCACTCCCGCCTCTCCTGGAAGCAGAAGACCAGAAGCGATGATTTCAAAGAACCGACGCAACAACTCGGCGGGACCCATCTGATGTGCCACAGTTCGTAATGCCTTGTCGCAAATGAGTTCCATGATGTAGCACGGGAACGAGTTCCAAGTGGGGATCCTGCGACAGAGATCTCGTAGAATACGGACGACTAGACAGAGTGTCGGCTGGCTTTTGCACTTGAGGTCGAACCACTTGGCTCTTCGAGTGTCGGCTAAAGATGCCGCGCATTTAGCCTGGTCCAGAATTCTCTCATGGCCATTATTGCCGTCCAAAGTATCTGGTTCTCGCATTTCGGGAGAAGTGATGTGAACTGTACATTGCAGCGCACTCTCGCTCTTGCTTTTCACTGTTATCCAAGCATTTTTGGCGCTCCAAGACACAAGGAATGTCTCATCAGTGATCAACTCCTCCAGCTTATCGTTGAGCACGTGACATACATTCGCAGCCAGTACTTCAGTTGGCTTCTTGTCACATAAGACCACAAGCTCTAATTGTTTCTCTCCTTTTAGGAGGATGTTTTTGGCCAGATACCCCACACGCATTACGCCCTTCAACTCTTTCGTTTTGTGCTCGTGGTCAGCTGCTAGTTTTTCTGCTACTGCTTTCAGACAAGTCTCTATGTTCATGAGGAAACTGTCCGCCACCTGAACAGAACGACTCAACATGCGCCACAGCCAAACTGACAACTTCATATGACGACACTTCTACAGTACTGATTTAAATTATCCGGACAAAACGAACAAAATTTGAATTTCAAACGCGTTTTTCCCAAATTTGGTTAATATTAGACTTCTTATCAATTGACAAAGTAGTTTCAGCGTAATTTTTGATTAATTGAAAAAAGCCGAAATCACCAATTTTTGGGTTAAGTTTTTGGTTGAGATTTTCGGAGAAAAAATGCACCATATTAGTTCTGATTGATTTCTAAGCAACTTTTGTTCTCTTCACGTTTTGTCTAATATTAACCAAATTTGGGAAAAACGCGTTTGAAATTTCAAATTTTGTTCGTTTTGTCCGGATAATTTAAATCAGTACTGTAAAAGTGTCCTGATATGAAGAGAACAAAAGAGAACTAATATGGTGCAATTTTCTCAACCAAAAACTTCATCCAAAAATGGGTCATTTTGGCTTTTTACAATTAATCAAAAATTACGCTGAAGCTACTTTGTCAATTGATAACAAATATATATCACAAGAAGCCTCTTACACAGCCCAACCAAATCCCAGAAGAGTTAAATATCCAAAATCCTGTATAAGAGAAAATATTTTTGCTAGATAGTTGTGGTAAGGTGATGTAATGATGTAAGCTCAATTGAAAAAGATATTGTTTCAAGAGTTAATTCTAATCCGAAACTTAGTTTTCTCAATCATTAGACAGTTCCGTGAACCAGCTCATTTTGTCGTATCATCGTACGCAGAGCCAACGTAAAACTAAGGTCTATTCAGTGATCAACACTGAATGACCTTGACTTCAGTTTAACAAAATATATAATTACAGATAACGATATGCGTCCCAAGGTTAATGTGCAGCGAGGTTAACATGATTACTGCACATGCAGTATGTGCTGTACCACACTCCCCTTGGGATAAATAAATTTTATATAGTATACTTACAAAATTTAAAATAACTATGAGTTTTAGTACTCAGTTTAATCAGTTTTGAACAGAGTTTTGTTCACCTGCAGGTGCCCTCGCATTTCAATTTTCCTCTGGTCTGTTTTGTTCCTCTGCCAAATTGTCATAAGAATTTAGTGGGACCCGCCATGCAGCATTCCAGGTTTTCGTAATATCCAGTGCCTCGCTTCCAAATTTTCGTCGAAAAAGATGTTTTTCAAGCAATCCTATTTTCGTTTCCACTGGCTTGTTTACATCAGTTTTAAACGTTGCCAGTTTAATCCTGTACGCCTCCAGTGCCGCCTTATTGAGGTCTGTTATATCATGTTGTGAAGTAATGAGTTTGACTGAGTGTTTTACAGGACTTCCATATCGACTGGGACCTTTGTTTTTTGTCTGCCTTTCGCTGCGTCTCACTGTTATGTCGCTTTCGTCTGATTCGTCTTAGAATCCCGGGGGTGCGTTGTTGCCTTCATCGCCGCTCGTAACCACAGTTTTTAAAATATTTAATATTTTCTGCAGCTTTCTGCGCTCCCCTTGTTAGGACCTGGTCGCCTAACAGATTCCAGTCCTCTGTGATTAGGTCGCGACTTTGGAATATTTCCAGTATTTTTTCCGCTGGTGTATTTCGAGTGATTTCTTTGCTTTTATCTTTCATCTCCTTCCTTCGGGTGGACGTGTTCAACGTATAAGTTTTCGCCGGAGATGAGTTTGTTTGTTTCTTCTTGTTCGTCTGTTTTGTCTTTCTGACTTACTGCTGCTGCAGCTTTTTGTTTTCTCGCCTCTTGACACGTTAGTTTTTTGTCCTTTTTCGGGCTCCTTTTGTTTCCGAGCTACTCGCATTTCCCAACACTGGACCTCCGTTTAACTCTATGTCTTTAGATGTTACATTTTGTTGGCTATCTTGGTATAGCGCCGCTGCATTCTCCATTTCCGAGCTCTCCTGGATTTCAGTCATTTCTTCCGAGTCACTGTTTGTTTCTCTTGTTCCGCCGTCTATTTTCTTTGTTTTTGATTTGGGTTCGTCTCCATGAGGGCTTCTTCTAGATTGATCTTTTTTCGGGCTTTTGTCTCTGAAGTCACTGGTGTCAATTTTTGATTCGGCGATATCGCTCTTTCTGTAGATTGCCCCCGCAGCTGTTTTTACTGTGTGTGGAGTTTCCGATCGCACTTTTCGCTTTAAAGGGTTTGTTAGAGCCTTCCCGCTCTTACTGCCCTCGTCTACCTCAGTAGGTTTGGTGATCTTTGGTCGTCCTCTTCTGGCTTGTTCTCGATGAAGCCGTAAACCACGAGCATAGGAGCTCTTTTCTTAAATCTGGGTTGATTGTGCTCGTCTCGTCGACTATCCGTTTTATATCGTTAGCCGATGTGTCCCTCCTGGTCGCATTCCATCGAGCGTTTGCTTCTAGCAGTGTCTTTAGAGCTTTTGCCCGGTCTCTGTCCTTTACTGACTCTACTTCTGATTTGAATAGAGTACTAACCTCTCTACTGCTTTGCCCTTTTCTCACGATTTTGACGTTGTCCCTTGACTGATTTATCCGGCTTTTTAGTTTTGAGGCAAGGAGGGCTGATCGCTTCAGGTGTTCCTTATCTAAACGATCAAAGTTTTTAATGAACTTATCCCTTAAGATTTTGAACTCGGTTTTTGGAAGTCGTCCGAAATGAGCTTCGAATGGGGAGCATTTAATCGTTTTTTGTTTGCTCCACCGAGGATCTCGAACTATCGTGCTAAGAGCAAGTTTTATTGATGTGACATTTGCATCCAATAACATAACTCCCAGTCTTCGTTTTATGGTTCGTTCGACCAGACCATATCTCCTGTGGTCCCCTACTGGGCAGAATTTTTGATCAATATTATGTTCGGAACAGAACTTTTTCATCGTTTTGCCTTTAAATCCCGAGAACTGGCCGGTTCTTATTTATTCCGGTATTCCGTGTGTATCAATATAATTACGTAGAAATTTCACCGACGAATTGCCCCCAGTCGAATTGTGACTTCTACCGACAGGAATTTTGTATATCTATCTATGGCTGTAAGTAGGTAAATTTTCTTCCTCTTCTTATCTTCTAAGGGACCCGCATAATCTAATTGCAACTCTTGCCCCGGCTGCGTAAGCAGTGGAAGGGTTTTGACGCATTTTTTGGTACAATATATATTTAACATTCTTACCATAGCGGGTACAGCTTCTACATTCCTCTGCCATACTCACAATATCTTTAAGCATGTGTGGCCACCACAGGTATCTAGATACGTCCAGCATGGCTTCCTGTCCTGGTTGGCCTCAATGGATTCTTTTCAAGACTGCATGACTTCTACCGACAGGAATTTTGTATATCTATCTATGGCTGTAACTAGGTAAATTTTCTTCCTCTTCTTATCTTCTAAGGGACCCACATAATCTAATTGCAACTCTTGCCCCGGCTGCGTAAGCAGTGGAAGGGTTTTGACGCATTTTTTGGTATAATATATATTTAACATTCTTACCATAGCGGGTACAGCTTCTAAATTCCTCTGCCATACTCACAATATCTTTAAGCATGTGTGGCCACCACAGGTGTCTAGATACGTCCAGCATGGCTTCCTGTCCTGGTTGGCCTCAATGGATTCTTTTCAAGACTGCATGACGTAGTTGTCCTGCGACGGCTAGTCGCCCGTCTACGAGGATGCAGTCGTCTACAACGGACATTTGGTGCCAGAGCGAATTCGTATACGGCCCCATCATTTCAAATGTGTGACGATCTTTTCGTTCTATCACCCTCCTCAGCCTGTCCGTCCATCCATGTATCCTCCGTTGTTAGTTCAGCAAGGAGATTTCGGTCAAAGAGCTTTGACAAGTTGAACGGATTGTTGTCTTCTATATGTTCTGTTTGCCGAAATTCGTCTTTTCTTGATTTTCTATCAATTTTTCGTCCCCCAACTAGGCTAATTTCTGGGCTTGTTGTCGGGCTATCAGCCGTAAGATCCACTTCTATAATCCTCGAGTCGTTCTTTTCGGGTATGTTCGCTTTTGGGCTGGACATTTCTGTTGACGCTTCTAGCTCCAGTAAATTTACAGGTATTACTCTGTCTGCTCGTTCTGATCCTACAAAATCCCAGAAGGCCATAAGCTTTTTGGGTTCTGAATAAGTTGAGGTTGATTGCCCCGTTTCCTTTCTCTGATTTATGATATCCACAAAATGAATGGCGGAAAGTGGATATCATGTCTTCTACCGAACTGTCAGATTCGTGCCCTCGTTGTACTGTTCTTGTTTTTCTGTACGTCGTTTCAGTCACCTGTTCGAGCATCTGGTCTGTATTCTTTTCGCGCTCCATTATTTTTACGGTCTTTTTCGGTTTTTTTCCATTCTACTTTTTCTGTTTTGACAATGTTTGTTTTTGTATTTTTGCAATTGTTTCGAGTGTCAACCGACTGTTCACAATGAGATAGCTTGCTTAAAGTGTTTTGCTCACAATTTGAGAGACGTGAGTTTTGACGTTATTCGTTCCGATCGAGCCCTGTTCGTTTTTGAACAGTACGGTTGCTAAAGCAACAGTGGGATGGCGTGTCTTTTAATTTATCCAGCGTATCTCTCAATCCAGAATGTTCTAGAATGTTTTCGTTCTGAATTGTGTTTACTGTATCGTTTAGCCGACTGCTTAAGCAATCGAGTGCTTTATGAAAACGTTCGATCGACGCTACAACGAATTTTTTATCTAAATATGACTCCGGCCACGGTTCGCCGTTTGGGTCTCTTGACAGACAATCAACAATCCCCATGTCTTTACCTGGTATGTGTACCACTTTAAATTGATAGGGTAACAACCGGTCTATCCACCTAGTTAGTCTAGATTGGTCCGTTTTGTCACATATGTTCTCCTAGTGCTGATGTAAGGGCTTTGTGATCTGTCGCTAATATGAATTCTTTTCCTAGTAAATAGTGTTCAAATCTATCTACCGACCATACTACTGCGAGCAGTTCTAACTCGTTTGTCGAGAGCTTTTTCTCTTGGGTGTTAAGATAACGTGATGCGAACGCAATAGGTACCCATTCTTTATCATCTGTTTTCTGCTCTAGAGTTGCACCGAGACCGCTGTGACTTGCGTCACATTTTACCCGAGTATCCTTTTTGGGGTCATAATAGTGAATTTGTGCTATCCTTGCCATCACCTTTTTTATGTCTTCGAAAATTAGGGAGTGCTGCTCCCCCCACTCAAATTTTTTCACGGGCAATTTAATATTTTTCATCTTCTTTTTCTCGTTTTCTTCTCTTAACAGTGGTCTAAGCTGATCGGTTAGACTCGCAGCGTTAGGGCTGAATTTAGAGAGGTGGTTAATACTACCCATAAACGATCTTAATTGCTTTAAGGACTTTGGGTGTTGCAGTTTTAGTATTGCCTCTATCTTGGTGACTTTTGGTGTTATGCCGCCTGGTGTAAGTTTATGACCTAGCCAGTTAGCTTCTGTCTGAAAAAATTCGCACTTTTCCAATTTTAACGCTAGATTTTCATTGTCCAATTTTTTTAACACGTCGATTACTAGTTTTTCATGTTCATGATTTTCACCCTTCGAAACGATCGAAATATCATCAAGGAAACAGAAGGTGTCCTTTACATGATTTAATGTTCGGTCCATGGCTTTTTGGAATTAAGCAGGCATGTCTGCTAATCCGTAGAACCCGGTGAGGAACCTGATGTTGCTGTTGCATGCCCACCTACTATGTTAAAGTTACACTGCTTAGCTGTTTCTGCATTTAATCTGATTTGACTATAGGCGTATTTCAGGTCGAGTACCGTGAAATAAAGCGTACCGACTGTATTGGCAGTTACTATATGACTTACTCCATCCAGTAATTCATCCATATTTGGCATCTGGTATTTGTTATTATACAGTTGCCTGTTTATGGGTTTTGCGTCTAACGCCAATTTAATCGCTAGTCTTTTTTCACCGTGATGACTATTGGCGCAATGAAACAGTCGCTTGTGCATTCGTCAAGTTTTGTTATATGACCCTCTGATAACAACTTCGATAGTTCTGCTTGCACCTTTTCTTGTATATGTATAGGAATCCTCCTACCTTTTTCTTGCATTGGGCATAGTGGGTATTTGAATTTTGTGTTAACCACGTGATTTTTTGATCCCCCTTTCGATCAAATAGAGGCGGGAATTTTTTGTAAGATTGATATTTCATACCTTCCGACTGCTCGCACAGTAGCACGTCAAACCTGGACCTTTTTGAAGGTGCTGATTTATGTGAAGTATGGATTCCCAATTTTCCTTGTAAATCTAGACCCAGAATTCATCTTGCTCGGCGTTCTGTAATTAACAACGATGCGTCTTTCACTTCCCACCCCGCTGAACGGATACTAGTACATAATGCTCCTAGTATTTGAATTGTTTATTTAATGTAGTTAACAAACTGCGTCGTCAGGTTCAATTCTTCAGCTGGAATGAGTTTGATCTGTGGAGCTCCCCCCAGTAATTGTTTTGCCGTTGTCCGGTTTAGAAACGATACTTAGAAACGATAGACTTCCAGTATCTATGGTCATGTTTATAACTTGCTTGTTTATTCTTACCAGCGCCTTCAACGCTTTTATTTAGAGCGACTTTGGGTCTCTTCGAATGTCAATTTTTCGAACATCTTTCGTAGCTTTGATCTCACTGTTGTCATTTACTCCTGATGTAATTTTTCCAATTATTCTTTCCTGTGCGTTGTTTAGCCTTGATTTGACCACCATAATTTCAAACTCATCGCAGGAATCAAAACTGTGAATTAAGTTACATTCTTCGTCTGAACTAGAGTTTTCTTCCGTAATCTCGTTCACTTGATTCGAGCGACACATTTTTGCAAAGTGGTTTTGCTTATTGCAGCTTTTGCAGGTTTTCCCCATAGCTGAACAACTTTTCAAATGTCCTTCGCCGAATGTTTTGCCACATCTGGTACATGGTTTTTGATCAGTTCGGGTTTTTGTTATCATTCCATCTCTTTTTGAATTGGTTCCTATTCCATCTCCTGTAGTTCTGGTTTTTATTCCCCACTGCCATTATTGGCTCTTGTTTTATTTTGATTTGAGGCCCAGGGAACTGGCCTCCACTTGAGCTTCGTATTACCGATTTTTGGAACGCTTGTGGTTTGCTTGCTTTGTTCAAATTTGATAGCTCGTTTGAGTTATTCATCTGGTGCGAACGTTTCGAACGTCGGGGTATCTTGAAGTGCAGTAATTTTCATTCGGTATATGAATAGGTCTCGGACCAGTTCTTCTTCCAATCCACCCAATTCGGCCGTTGCTGCTTGTGTAGTTAGTGCTGCATGAAAAGACTCCAGTGTCTCACCGGATTCTTGTGCTCTGGTGAATAATCTATAGCGTTCATATGTGATGTTTTTCGTTTTTTCAAATGATACCTTAGCTAATCTCACCATGTCTCTGAACTCAAGTTTTGATATTTCAGTATGTGGATTTTTCTGCACGACTTTTTCCCGTCTGTGCCTAGCGCCAGGAATAAACGAGACGTAAGTCGTTTTTGGACTTCATTGTAGAACACATTATATCCGACTTTAGGTCCGCGTTCCCTTCTTTCTTGTTTTTCTAGTATTGCTTTGTCTCTTCTTAGTCTATCTCTCGCTTTCCGGTCCGTTACTGCCTGTACATCTTCGGTTGCTCCCGGAGTTTCTGGGCGAGGCATTGGTTCATCAATAACTTCTTTTTGGTTCCTCTAGTAATATCTCAGGATTCACATTCTCTTTCACCGTTACTGCTAACATAAATTGGTCCAACCAAATTTTAAAATTCCACGGTGGAACCGAACTAGCTGATATCCAGAACACTGGGATACCCATTTCCGTTCGGTTATCCTGTGCCATGAATTCTGCTGGCTGCGTCATGTGGTAAGGTGATGTAATGCTGTAAGCTCAATGGAAAAAGATATAGTTTCAAGAGCTAATTCTAATCCGAAACTTAGTTTGATCGATCAATAGACGGTTCCGTGAACCAGCTCATTTTTTCGCATCATCGTACGCAGAGCCAACGTAAAACTAAGGTCTATTCAGTGATCAACACTGAATGACCTTGACTTCAGTCTAGTAACAATATATATAATTACAGATAACGCTATGCGTCCCAAGGTTAGTGTGCAGCGAGGTTAACATGATTACTGCACATGCAGTATGTGCTGTACCACAATAGTCAAGAAATGTGATTTTTTACTATATAAAGCCCAAAATATTTGCTTAAAAACAAATTTAATACAGTTTACTCAAATTTTTAGAGATTGAAACCGTCTGGAGCTTTGTTGTGCTGTGTAAGAGGCTTCCTGTGATATATATTTCTCATCAATGAACAAAGTAGCTTCAGCGTAATTCTTGATTATTTAAAAAAGCCAAAATGACCCATTTTTCTGGTAAAATGTTTGTTGAGAATTTTGGTGAAAAAATTGCACCATTTTAATTCTGGTGAAAATCTCAGCAACTTTTGTTCTCTTCCCTTTTTGTTTAAGCTTAACCAAATTTGGGAAAAACGCGTTTGAAGTTTCAAATGTTGTTAGTTTTGTCCGGTTAATTTAAATCAGCACTTCATGAGAAGACAATATAATATTGAATGTTTAATTCATCGGACAGTTAAAAATACCTTCAGTTCCATGGGGGGTGGGTTTATCTCCAAGTGTTTAGCTGTGATGAGGTTGTCGTCTGTGGATCTGTATTCGCTCACTTGGCAACAGTTAGGGTAAGCCTTCAGAAGCTCGTGCTCTCTACTCCTGATCTTCGCTATCATGTTATTCTCACGCACCTACACACAAAATGTTCCATCACAACAACCAAGATGCAGCTTTTCTAGCATTATCAGAAAACGATTATTCTTTTGCCACTTCAAAACACTGATAGCATATATTTAAGCTGTGTAAAAAGAAGAAAGGGAGACATGATCAGCATAGTCTTGATGATTTATTGAAGATAAGTCTTGTAAAAGATCGCTCATAGACACCGAAAACCGAACGAACGCCTCACAAAACTTAAACTGTTCCAAAATTGATGCATCCATTGACCATTTGATTACAGTTTTTGACGTCAATACAAGGGCACTCAACAGTTAGTGTGTCAATTTTTCCTTGTGTTTACCCAATTGGCTACATGTTTTGAAAACCTATACAAAAAATTATAAAGCTCAGCGGTGAAGACAATCGTCTCATATTTGGTCTTAACAGGAGAGATCCCAGGAAGCTTGAAATAGCGGTTATAACAAACGAATTTGATCAGCGCAGTGTTGAGATTCACATTGATGGCGAGGCGATTGAGCGATGCTTGAGATCTACACACCTGGCGTCTCTTGAGCTCCTCCTGTTCGTTCTGCTGTCTCACTCTTTCTATTCTGTTGAACTCAGACTGCAGTTTGGGGTCTGCCACCTTAAGATTGGGCTGTATCTTCATCTTAAATTCCGTCAAGTGCTTCCTGCCCTTCAAATGCTCGTCTCTCATGTACACATTGTTCATGTCGCACTTGCACAACTCGCACTTGTAGTTCACCACTCGGCCCATTGAGTCCTTCTCCTCTTGGATCCACTCCACTCCCACCGACGGCCTATCAGATGACGATGACAACGAAACCACACTCCCACCCCCACCCCCCACTCCACCCGGCACAGAACTCGAACTTTGTCCAGACAGACCCGATGCTTGCATCTAGGTTGCGATGATGATTATTGTGAAACTCAAACGGTCCTATGATCACTTTTGAACTTGTAAAAAACAAACACCGCTAAAATTTCATTATCCTATTGTGGCACCAGAAATAACCAAACCTTCAAAAAATGAATTCTAACAAAAAATAGTAACACATGAGTTGTTTAACCTTTCATCTGGAATGTTTTTTTCCGCAAAACACTTTTTTGACTGGAAGAGCTAAACTCGAAACATATCACTGCCCAAATCAGCCATCGAAGGCTAGAAAGTTTTCCGGAAAATTATCTGCAGCGCAGCATCTAGATATATATCTCTAGTATGCATTAAAGAGGTAAAGCCAAATTTTCAAACTGAATCTCTCAAACTTTCTAAAGCAAATGACAAATTCCCACAACAGCACCCTGGAGCCCTAAAATAAGTGAATTAAATCAGAAAAACAACAAACCAGTCGAAAATAACAAAAAAGCTAAATGGATTGAGTTTCTTGGAAACGTTGACATTGATGAGCAACAAGTAAACTCTGGGCTGCAGTCCAAGAACAATTCAACACCAAAGCCAAAACACCACGAAACACACCTATACTTTTTGATGACGAACCAATTCACAAGACCCAAGCAAAAACAAAATTTAAGCAAGATAAAGCGCTGTGCTTTTTTTTACTGGACCTAATTGCATCTTCCACCATTTTCCTGGAAATTTGAACTTTAATCTCTAGGAACTAGAGATTAAAGTTAAAATTTCCAGGAAAATGGTGGAAGATGCAATTAGGTCCAGAAGAAAACCACAGCGCTCGGACCAGACAAGATAGCACCAATACATCTTCGTTTCATTGGAAAACAAGTCATAAAATTTTTGAGTAAAATAGTAAGCTTCTCACTGAGATGAGTAATCATACCAGAAAACTGGAAAGTGGGAAGAGTTATACCCCAGGAAAAGATCCAGAACAAGCCAGCTAAGAGCTGCAGACCAATTGCACTGCTCTCTCCAGTAGCAAAACTCGTACAGCGCATACTTTTACCTGAACTTAACTTGAGATTTTTGAGAACATTGGCACGACATAGAAAAGAAAGTACTGCTCTTAACTGCATCTCGTTCCACATTAAAGCTGGCTTAAACAAGGCAAAACCATGTCAAAGAACACTAATGGTCGCTCCAGATTAGACTGCAGCCTTCGATACTGTTGATAACTACTATCTGCTCAACGATATCGCCAGGTCGAATCTATCTAATACCAAACGATGGATTCATGCCTATCTTCGTGGTACATACATAAACTCATGGAGAACTCAGAGATACTAAATCCAAACGCAGAAAGGTGATACAAGGTGTTCTATCCTAGGTTTTTTTTACATACACATGTCTCAAATGCCACTATCTGAGAATAATAAGGCCAGACATACGCAGACGATATTACAACATACTCAGACGATATTACCATAAGAACACCAGGTCCCAACATCAGCAACTTAACCCAGCCTGTGAACCATACTTATAAAACCTGAACACCTGGCATACAAAATCTTTCACTATCAAAAAATAAATTCGGAACATCCATCTTTTCAAATTGGGCAAATTAGTTCAACCTAGAACCAAATGTCATTGTCGACGGCACCAAGCCACCAGCCAACCAAAACCTTAAGACTCTAGGCGTTCCGTTCGAAAACCAGGTTATCTTTAACAAACACTGTAAGAAGGTCTGAAAAACTTCAAAAAAAGGAATTGAATTCCGAAAAAACTTGCCCGCACTACTTGGGGTTACTCCAAAGAAACAATCATTATTACTTACAAGGCAATTGGCAAGATTGTACCAAAATATGCATCACCCATTCGAACTTCCACACGGAGCTACACAAACTGGCAGCGTCTACAGGTTAAACAAAACAATGCTCCACGAACAGTTACTAGTTGCGTGAAAGTGAGCCATATCACGCATTTACACGATGAATTAAAACACTTCCGGTCAGAAAATATAATGAAATACTCTCCAAGCAGTTTTTTCTGAATGTTATCAAGAGCGCACAGCAGATACCTATACTGTAAACTATATAGGGTACAACCTGAATATCAGGTCCACCCTCGAACACAAGTTCAAACCCGAAACTAAGCACTTGCTTACGAACAACCAGGAGAGCGTCTCTTAGCTTGAATATGTTTGCGGGATCAAAAATCTTCAAAATTTCCTTCACGAGAAAGCTAATCTAATTGCCTGAACTCCACCAATAATATCAGCTAATGAAAACAAAATTGATCGGGAAACAGATGTACGCTAGCACAACTTAGATCAAGTAATTCAACCTAACTGAATATTTACCACCATGGAAAGATTAATGATATACCTTACGCCTGCCCAAGTTGTTAGAAAAGGATCACAGACCACTGATTATCTGTTGAAATGTCGGGTACAGCCTGCCTCAGTTACCATCGATAGCCTAAGGAAAACCCCCGCAGAAGCTGCCAATATTGTAACACAAACCCAACTTTGAGTCCGTATAGATAGCTACTGTAAACAGAGCTAAGAAGGATAGCCGGTTGCTGTGCAAGTATTGATCTCTCCAATTCCATCTGAAGTTTGGAACCGAAATCAGTGTAGCTACAACAACAACAAAAATCTAAAAAGGTGGTCATCCTAAATTTTAGTGATAGCCTTACTTTTAACCCGAACTTTGAGTCCTTCTAGATTGCTACTGTAGCACAGAAAATTCGGATCATATTTATACAAACTAATTACCTTGTTTTCTTTTCAAATCACGTTGCTCAGTGTTTTTGGTGTGATCATTGAATCTAAATGAAAACCTAGAGCTACAATGAAAAAAAATCATGTAATTTCGACAAAAGCTTTCTATGTACAATAATTACAGTGTTATACTAAAATAAACAATCTGTACAACGAGCTACAAGACAAATTGATACTCTCATACCCCAAAGGACAAGATTCCCGCAAACTATTTCCATGTTTATCAAACCAAGCACTTCACACCACATTCGAATGCTAGAAACACAGAAAACAATACTCAAAGACAACCTACCAGCTACAGGAAAAGCGAAGTGAGTGAAAGAGATCAAACTTGTTACCAGGACCAAACATTCGGATCCAGAAACACCAGTTTCATCTTCAAGCATCTAAAGCATATCAACCGAGTTTCAAACATTCCAAAATCAACCATTTACAAGAATAAATCTTCTTAGATCTGCAAGAAAAAGTTGATCTCTTCAACCATTTCACCAAAAGAAACCTTCAACCTCAATGATATGAAGCGCGACACACCGACCTTAACGAACTTATCTATCTCGACTACGACAATTCACAATATAACAAATGAACTTGACACAACAAAAACCCGAGGCCCGAATGGCCTGCCACCTGTCTTCTAACATCGCTCAGGAAAGCAGATGAGATTGATCCTCAACAAGCTCTTCAAAAACATCAAACGCATGCAAAAACCACCATATGCATAAAGAGTGTTGCAGGCACCCCCATCCACAATAAAAACGACCCGAAACACGTTGAAAACTACCGTCCTATCTCTCTCCTCAATTTTATTAGCAAAGTATTTAAGAAATGAATGTATGCTTCTACGGACTTTTTGAAGAATTTGTGTCTGAAAACTAACAAGGGTTTGTAAAAAAGATCTGTAAAGATGATCCATTTTCTAAATAGAATTTATGAAGCCCTCGATTGTAACCCCCATGAAGACAATCACTATCTATGCTTACTTCTCAAAGGCGTTTGACAAAGTAATATCAGAAATTACTACAAAAATTAGTATCACTTGCCATAGTTGGATGTTTTCTTGATGGTCTTCATGATTATCTGAGCCATCGTCAGCAAATTGTTCGCATTGAAAATAACGCATCAGCTGTACTTGAGGTCACAAAATGTTGTTGTAGTAGCTAAGCCCAACGCCATAGGCTGCGGGATTTTTTGGGGTTGGGTTCGTTTTGATTTCGTTCTTGGTTACCATTGCTTTCCAGTACTTCATCAGAACAGTTAGAGATGAAGGTTGATTGGGTTTCCGCTAGTCCCTGCTTAGAGCCTTTGCCCCACGGCAGAACAGTTGGAGCAGGACACATGCGTGGTTACACGAATACCGTTTAAGATCTGGACTTACCATAGTTGGATGTTTTCTTGATGGTCTTCATGATTATCTGAGCCATCGTCAGCAAATTGTTCGCATTGAAAATAACGCATCAGCTGTAATTGAGGTCACAAGTTGTTGTTGTAGTAGCTTAGCCCAACGCCATAGGCTGCGGGATTTTTTGGGGTTGGGTTCGTTTTGATTTCGTTCTTGGTTACCATTGCTTTCCAGTACTTCATCAGAACAGTTAGAGATGAAGGTTGATTGGGTTTCCGCTAGTCCCTGCTTAGAGCCCTTGCCACGCGGCAGAACAGTTGGAGCAGGACACATGCGTGGTTACACGAATACCGTTTAAGATCTGGACTTGTTTAGATCCATAAATTGAAGTCAGCTCTTCGTCGTTGTCGATGTGTGCTGTTTAGAAGTCAGCATATTCGTCCTTATTTTGACTGATGTCACAAGTTGGGTCTCACAAGGATCGCTTCTGGGCCCACCATTTTTCTGCAATTTTGATAACGCTCTTCCCGATATTTTGAAATTCAATTATCCCTTCAAATTCGCAGGCGACCCCAAAACTCTATCGAAAGGACAAAAGTCTAAGAATATTCGACGCAAACCGGAAAAAAATGACAATTGCGTCTTGAAAAAAACATGACCCCAGACAAGTGTCCCCAATTAAATTTCAGAGGAAATAATATAAAACACAAAATCATGAGAAATCAGTCGTACAGCACGAAGTCATCAAAGACAGATACGAGACACGAGTCCATGGGACAGATTAATAAAATTCGAGCACTCATTCGACAGAACGCTCAAAAAGCCAATCGAAAACTGTTCTGTCTGAGACAAAATGTTGATACAAAACTTTGTCAAAGTGGGTCAATACAAATCTATCATGTTACCAATACTGACCTATGCAAAATT